GAGTGGTCTCAAAGTTGCTGCTTTGACACCGTCCTGGCATTTAGCTAATTCTCCTTCCTTTCTTTCTTACTCCCTCCCTCTGCCCCCTTTTTTCTCCCTCCCTCCCTTCCTTCCTCTCTTCTTTTCTTTTCTTTTTTGCTCTTTCTTTCTTTCTTTCTTTCTTTTTCTCTCTCTCTCTCTATCTTTTTCTTTTTTTCTTCTTTCCTTTCTTTCTTTCTTTTTCTTCTTTCCTGAGATAAGATCTCGTTCTGTTGCCCAGGCTAAAGTGCAGTGGCACAATCATAGCTCACTGCAGCCTCCAATTCCTAGGCTGAGTGATCCTTCTGTCTCAGCCTTCCAGGTAGCTGAGATTATAGATATGACCCACTGACCCAGCTCTTCCTTCCTTTCCTTTCCACAGTCCTGATACACATTACTGACAAGTGTGTTTACCTAATAGAATTCCTTATTCATAAGTATGTTGAAACAAGAATTAATTCATATTGTGACTCAAGAGAAGTAGGAATGCACAAAGAGTCTTGATGATAAGGTTAATTTATAGTGTGTTTCAGTGATACAGCCTTATGATGCTGTCACAGAGCATACATCAGTTTTTATTGTTCAATGCAGGACTCTTGAAAGATCAACAAACTTTACTTTTCTAAAGGGCTGTATCTTGCAAAAATAATCAGAGCCAGAAACTTAAAAAAGAGATGGGTAACCCCATAAGGAATTCAAATTTAAATGTTTGAGTTTTCTGTCAACCCCTCTTCCCTGCCCCCCACAAAGAAATGATTTGCTTTGTCCCAAAACCCCAGACTTGGGGGTGGAGTGGGAGGAAAAAAAGAAAGAAGGAAAGAAATAAATGATTGTTAGCAAACTTCTTTTGTAGAACGGATCAAAAAGATTGGCTCAGAGCATACTCTATCCATGTGCCAACTACAGTTTAGTCAAAGATAACACAGAGTGACTACCCATTTTTGCTTTATATCACTAGCCAGAATTTCTTATGTGTTTCATTTGATATACAAACAGATACATAACTATAAACAGTAAGGAAAAGAGCTGGAACTTTTAAACAAAAATAAAACATTGATATTTGAAAACTGCCTATCAAATAGCTTTTAAAACTATGAAGTATACTTTAAACTATGCACTGTTTTCCCATCCTCGCTGTAAATTCTAGTGAAGTATAAATTTTTCTGACTGTGGTAGAGGCTTCTAGTATTTTTGAGATATTAAACAGATTTTGGGTTTTTTAGACATGAGGGTCTCACTCCTGAGCTCAAGCTATCCTCCCACCTCAGCCTCCTGAGTAGCTTGGGACTACAAGTATGTACTATCATGCATAGCTAATTTTTGAAATTTTCTTAGAAATGAGGGCTGGGCGCGGTGGCTCACGCCTATAATCCTAGCACTCTGGGAGGCCGAGGCGGGCGGATCGTTTGAGCTCAGGAGTTCAAGACCAGCCT